ACTAGGAACTAGCCTTAATGTTTCCTGGGTAGACAGTGGGCATGACCTGTGATTTGTGGTTCCTCTGTCATATAAATCATCACCCCTGTCCTCTCTCATTCATGTACTTTTGAGCTCCCTTTAGGTAGAGTTTTGGTCTAAACTTCAAACATCATTTGCAACTTGGGATTTTTGCAGACATTCCGCATAAGAGAATTCTTCAGTGTCCTACAAGAGCCTTGTCCAACAGGAAGTGTTTTCAAAGACCACTGAGCCTGTAGCATTTGGTAGACCACACTGAAGAAGTGAGTGGACTACTTTAGATCTCATCACCAGATTTGAGAGTGTTTAAAATTCTGCTTTATTTGTAAAACGTCAGTCTGCACTTAATAGAAAAGCTGACACATAAACAATTGCTATAGGGGGCCTCCCTGGTGGTGGAAGGGTTAGAGATAGCGCTATTAAGCTACTACTAGTCACTGCAGGACAAGTTCGATCCCTGACCAGGGATCTACCCACATGGCGCAGTAGACCTGTCTGATCCTCTGCTCCCCTCAGCAGTGTATTTCAGTAGATACCTGTTCTGTTTCCCACTTTTTCTCTGGTGAATCCTCTCATCCCCTGCACCTCTGGCCTACACCCCAGTTCTTGTATGCATAAATAAATAAATCTTTTAAAAAAAAACAATGAAACAGTTGCTATAGCCTATTCTATAAGCTGGATGGAGTCCTAGCTCTCTCCCTTTAGATATTCTGACCAAACAAGGTTTATGTGCAATAGAAGCAACAATATTCCTAAATACTGAACCAACTAAGAAGTGTGCCTTGGCCATGGTCCCTAGGGGCTAACCAATGATAGCTGGTCTTGAATGCCAATTTCGTTTTTGAGAATCTCGGGAAAATTAACAAGACTCTAGTTTCACCAGTAAAAGCTCAGTTTTTGATAAGCTGTATGTTAGATTGCAAAAAGAGCTTGTTTTGAAGCTTGGCCCAACCAGATGGCAGCCACTGTTAACCTGATGAGTAAGAATTAAAACTTACCTTGGAGGGCCTCCCCGGTGGTGCAGCGGTTGAGCGCTGGGTTGCGAAGCTGCCCACAGCCTCTGTGGCACCGGTTCGATCCCCGGCTGCTCCCAGACCTCTCCTGACTTGCCTGCTGCTCTCCTCAGCAGTGTGCTTCGGTCCTTCTGCCTGCTCTGCTCCCCGCTCTGGCTCTGGTGAATTCTCTCACCCTCCCGTGCTTCTGACTGTACCCAGTGCTTGCATAAATAAATAAATAAATTTTAAATAAATAAAACTTACCTTGGAAATACATCAAGTGTGCAGGCTCCCACACTTCATAACAGGCTCCCAGACTAATTTCTACTGAACACATATAGATTATTAAAACATTGTCCAATTGGCCACCAGCTTACCTGTTTTCTGATTTGAACATATTCTGAGGTACACACACTGTGTCCTACACATCACATTCCATTTCCTTCATGTAGGTAACAGAGCTTGACTTGGATAGCTGTGTTGCATCGTATTAAGATTTAAGTAATACATAGCAGCCTTGGGCATCAATGTTACCAGTGCCTTAGCTATTCTACAGGGAATTTCTGTAGTTTTAAACTCCCCATAAATATCATATTTCTTTTTTTTTAAAAGATTTATGCATACAAGAGCTGGGGTACAGGGCAGAGGTATGGGGGGTGAGCGGATTCACCAGAGACAGAGTGGGGAACAGAACAGGCAGATTGACTGAAGTACACTGCTGAGGGGAGCAGCAGGCAAGTCAGGAGAGGTCTGCTGCGCCATGTGGGTAGCTCCCTGGCCAGCAAGAGGATCGAACTTGTGCTGCAGAGGCTGTGGAAGCTTCATAGTTTGTGTGTTAACCCCTTGCACCACCAGGGAGTTCCGAATATCATATTTATGTGCCTCCCTGCTTCCGTTCCTATTGTGCTTTCTGCCTGTATCTGTGTTTCATTCATGTTCCCAATGAAACTTGAAGGTGTAGCTCCATTTGCTTACAGATGTTTCAGGACCCACACGGTCAGGGCTGACCACAGAGTGTGCTCAGTCAGGTTGAGGTGTGGCCTATGTCCTCAGGCCAGGAAGGTACTTAGGAATACTTAATTTACAGCTTCACTGGACAAATGAGAATAGAAAGCAGGAATTGGGGAGGGGTCCCCAGGACTTCACCTGCTGGGCATGAGCCCCTACCAGCGAGGACCAGAGAGGGGTCCAGGCTGGCTCTTTATCTTTTTTTCTTTTTCAGGCCCCCTGTTGGCTTTTTGGTTCTCGGTTTTCAGCTTTTTTTTTTTTTTTAAAGATTTATTTATTTATGCACACAAGAGCTGGGGCACAGGCCAGAGATGCAGGGAGTGGGGGGTTGGAGGAGTCACCAGAGACAGAGTGGGAAGCAGAACAGGTAACCGAAATACACTGCTGAAGGGAGCAGCAGGCAAGCCAGGAGAGGTCTGCTGCGCCATGTGGGTAGCTCCCTGGCCAGGGATTGATCGTGCTGCAGTGGCTGCGGACAGCTTCATAGTGCTGCGTCTTAACCCCTCGTGCCACCAGGGAGGTCCTGTTTTTCAGCTTTGTGAGGACCAGCTGCCTCCACTCAATAGTAGGGTTAAAAGAAATGAAGAAAGTTAACAGAATTTTAGCATCTAAAGCCTAAGCAAGAGCCTTTTGCTTTAGCCTGGAGTTCTAGGGGGTGAGACCCTGAAGTGGGGGTTTCTGGAAGAAGAGTGCTGTGCATTTTAAAAGAAATTTTACCATAAAAGTCTTTTAATTCTTAACTCTGAAATATGCAGAACTCCCTGGATTACTTCCATTGTCAGCTCCATGGGAGGAAGAGGGATGAAGATGGTGTTCCCTGATGAACTGGTAGAATTTGAAGTTCATGGCAAGGAGTAAGAGATGCACACTTTTGTACCCAGGCCAGTGGCTGGGGCTCAATGGCAAGGTGAGTTAAAAGTGAACTTTAGGAAAAGCTTGGAGAGTGGAGCTTTGGAATTTGAGTTGGGAAGATCCAATTGCTGGCTGAATTTAGGTGTTGCCGTGGAAACACTCCTAGTAAGTGACCTCCACCCCAGAACAGGGAGAAGACAAAACGCAGTGGTTACACCAAGCAGGCACAGGTTTCAGTTCTGGAGCTACCATTTCCTAGCGGTGTGATCTTCTCCAGTTAACCTTAATTAAACAATGTGTCTATTTCCTCAATATTAATGAAATTTATGATAATATTAAATAATGTATAATACAGTACATGGTGCAAAGTCACCCTTCAATAAATCAGAAGGTTGGTTTGCTCCACACAGGTCTTGGGCTTTGTTCTGTCTTCCATGCTCAGCCCCTGCAGGTCTGTTCCCTCCACCCAGCCTCACTGGCTGCCTGGTGGTTCCAAGCACATCACAGCTTTGGGGCTGTGGCCTTGACAGTCCCCTTTTCCTGGAGAGTTCATGTTTGCTCACCTCTTTGTCCCTGACTGTCCAATTAAAACCAGCAACTCTGGGCCTCCCCGGTGGCGCAGAGGTTGAGCGCTGGGTTGCGAAGCTGCCCGCGGCCTATTCGGCGCCGGTTCAATCCCCAGCTTCTCCCCGGCCACCAGAGGAGGGTCCCACATGGCGCGCAGACCTCTCCTGCCACCCGCTGCTCCCCTCAGCAGTGTGCTTCGGTCCTTCTGCCTGCTCTGCTCCCCGCTCTGGCTCTGGTGAGTTCTCTCACCCTCCTGCGCTTCTGACTGTACCCAGTGTATGTATAAACAAAACAAACAAACAAATAAATAAATAAATAAAACATGAAAAAAAAATAAAAAAAATAAAACTTTGTCTCCCACTTAAAAAAATAAAAATAAAAATAAAATAAATAAAATAAAATAAAACCAGCAACTCTGAGCACCTGAAACTATTGTAATAATCTTGCAACTATACTCCAGTTAAAAAGCTGAAACAGTGATTCCTGCCCAGAATTCCCTGGCCCCCTTCCTTGCTTAATTGCTTCTCCACAAAACAATAACTCATAGCACTATCTGACCCCCTCCCCCCACAGATGCCAGCTTTCTATTACTCACCATTGTATTCCTATGCTACAACAAAGTGTGGCACTAGTAGCTACTTTTTAAATATTCATGGGATGAAAGAATAAATATTTTGGGCTAGGATCTGCTAAGAGGGGTTTTTATTGTTTTAAAAGTACATACCAGGGGGCTTCCCTGGTGGCACAAGGGGTGAAGACACAACCTATGAAGCTTACTGCAGCCACTGCAGCATGAGTTTGAGCCTCGGCCTGTTCTGTTCCCCTCTGTCTCTGGTGAATCCTCTCACCTCTCACACCTCTGGCCTGTACCCCTGTTCTTGTATGCATAAATAAATAAATCTTAAAAAAAAAAAGTACAGGGCCTCCCCAGTGGCGCAGCGGTTGAGCGCTGGGCTGCGAAGCTGCCTGTGGCCTCTGCAGCGCCAGTTCGATCCCCAGCCAGCCAGGGAGCAGCCCACATGGTGCAGTAGACCTCTCCTGACTCGCTCACTGCTCCCCTCAAATGCACTGCAGTGCATTTCAATCAGTCTGCCTGTTCTGTTCCCCATTCTCTCTGGTGAATTCTCTTATCCCCGACCCCACATCTCTAGCCTATACACCAGCTCTTGTATTCATAAATAAATAAATCTTTAAAAAAATTATTTAGGGCCTCCCCGGTGGCACAGCGGTTGAGCACTGGGTTGTGAAGCTGCCCGCAGCCTCTGCAGCGCTGGTGTGATCCCCGGTCACCGGGCGAGGGTCCCACATGGAGCTCAGACCTCTCCTGCCGCTCACTGCTCCCCTCAGCAGTATACTTTGTTGGTCTGCCTGTTCTGTTCCCCGTTAGGGCTCTGGTGAATTCTCTCACCCTCCCACACTTCTGACTGTACCCAGTGCTTGTATAAATAAATAAATAAATAAATAAATAAATAAATAAATAAATAATTCGTTCATTCATTCATTCATTCATTCATTCTTTAATAAATAAATAATTTTTTTTTAATTACATATAGTTACCATATGATTCAGCAACTCCACTCCTAGGTGTATATCCAGGAGAATTAAGCACATCTGTCCACATAAGGATCATACAGGAATCTTCGTGGCCGCATTGTACATAACAACTGAAAGTGGAAACGATCCAAATGCCTGTCAGCAAATGAAGGGAAAAGCAAAACTCGAGCTGCTGATGATGGAAGAGCACCTAAGCGTGAAGAGGCGGCAACTGTTGCTACGTGCTGGTGCTCGACTGAGCCTGGAAAACATGCAAAGTGAAGAAGCCAGGCAGAAAGGCCACCTATTATGTGATTCCACGGATATGAAATGACTAGGAGAGGCAAATCCAGAGATAGAGTGGATTCATGGGTGCCAGGAGCAGGGGCGGTGGGAGTGAAGAGCAACTGCTGATGGCTGTGGGATCTCTTTTTGGAATGATGGAATGTTCTAGAATTAGGTTGTGGCAATGGTTGCACAATTCTGAATACAATTAAAAACCACTGAATAGTGCACTTTAAAATAGTGAGTTCGATGTGAACTTTATCTCAGATATGTACATATATATGCTAGATATTCTTCATTTCCCATCTTACAGATGATGAAGCAAAGTTGAGGATGCAGCTCTGCCCTGGTGCCAGCAACCTTGCACTCTACAGAGACAAGGCCTGACCAAATGCCCTGTGGTTCCTCCTGGACAACAGGAGTTTCACTTCCTAGGGGGTGCTGCCCTGAGACCTTTTCTCACCTGTTTCTTTATCTTGCAGGCCCCTCACAAGGCCATTTCTCATCCATCTCCCATCTCCATTCAGTGCAGCATTTTCCACTGTCTCCCCCATTCCCATAAGGATTCATCTACAGGCCGTTGCAAAAGTGCATAAAACTACTTGGCTAAAGCTGAGTTGGCTCCAGCACAGTCAGCGACCCACTGCCCATGCCATCTGTCACCTGGACCTCCAGCTCAGTGTCACCCTGAAGGACAAGGGACTCGAGCAACTGACAGTCATCTTGCTTTTGCTTTCGATGTGGGTAGTATATCTTCTCTGAATCCACTGGGTTCAATGTCTCTTTCCAGCCCAGTGTACGAACGTGTAGTCCATCATCCCAGCAGCTGAAGTGGTGTCTTCACAGCCCCTTTGGCCACTGCACCGCTGCTGTGGGAAAGCTAGACACTAAGATGCAGAGCTGAAGTAAATTTTCCCAGGTCCCACCACTGCTGGCACCAAGATGCTGACCTGGGTGGTCTGACTCCAAGCAGACAAAGTAAATTCCATATGGCGAGCTGTCTGATAGGGCAGCAAATTAAAATAAGGACAATTCTGGAGAATGCAAGATAATTTGTTCTTCTCCCTCTCTTCAAATGTCTGCCTTATCTTTAGAACAAAAAATCCAGAAGAGTCAAGGAACTTAGAAATGTCTCTCCAGGAACATTTAAACAATATCTTTGAGAAAATTTTTGGATGGGACACTTAAAGTCACTTCATAACTTTTAGAAATACTGGCCTGGGACACACATAAATTTCATTCCCAGGATTAGAAATTATTGGTGGCCTTCCTGCTGTATTTGCATATCATGTCCACAATTGCCACTGTGGTACCTAAAGGTGTACCCCACCCATCAGTAACTTCTCAGTCATGGCCCCTCACCTAGGCCTTTTATTTTTATTTATTTATTTATTTATTTATTAAAGATTTATTTATTTATTTATTTATTTATTTATTTATACAAGCACTGGGTACAGTCAGAAGCGCGGGAGGGCGAGAGAATTCACCAGAGCCAGAGCGGGGAACAGAGCAGGCAGAAGGACCGAAGTACACTGCTGAGGGGAGCAGCGGGCGGCAGGAGAGGTCTGTGCGCCATGCGGGACCCTCCTCCCGTGGCCGGGGAGCAGCCGGAGATTGAACCGGCGCTGCAGAGGCTGCGGGCAGCCTCGCAACCCAGAGCTCAACCGCTGTGCCACTGGGGAGGCCCCACCTAGGCCTTTTAACTACCACACCCATCTTCCAGCTGCCTTGTCTGCTCTTCTATGGACAAACTTGGCTGATTCCCCAGGAATGAGAGGCAGCAGATCCTGAGAAGTGTGTGCTTGTGGTTGAGGAGACCACCTCAGTAGTGATGGGGGACGCGGGCAGTGGCAGTGCTCCTGCCTTTGGCCTGTAAGGCTGCATGGTGCAAGGGCTCCATGTCGATAGGGGTAGGGAGGCCCTGTGTAGCGACATGGGGCCGAGCCTGAGAAGTGTCAGGTCTGGGACTGATTCCCAGGCTGGCTATGTGAGGAGAGAACAGCCCCTTCACTCCGGGTCCAGCTCTCCTGCTCTGTGACTCCCGGAGCCCTGTGCTTCCTCACAGGGTGGCTATGTCCAGGGGGAGACAGCATGTCTGAGAAGGAACCTGGCAGTCTCACACTGGATATGCACATGTCCATGACCCCCATGGAGCAGAAATCTGTCCTCCCAGCTCTAAGGGCAGTGGCACATTGCCTGGGGAGGCGCTTCCCCTGAACAGGCAGTCTCAAAATGACAGATTTGACCAGATGTCCACATTTCAATGACTTCTGGACCTTTTACTCCACTGTGATATGAGTCAAGCCAGTGAGAACCACGCTGGTTGAGTGAAGCATTTTTTCAGGAGTCTTGGAAAGGGGGTGGCCCGTGTTGAATTCCAGTTTCTAATATTTGCAGTTTGAATCTCACTGATTGCAGCAAATGTGTGAGGATGACTGTTGTCACCGCTTTTTTAGAGAGAAAGGAAGCTGAGTGCTATGGCATCATAGCCAATGCTTGTTGGGCCTTAAATTTGGTCCTGGAACTTGGTTACATTTCACTTCATCTTCTCATTTAATTCTCTATCATTACCTCATTTTAGAAAGGATGGAGTAGAAGTCCAGGAGGGTTAAGTAACCTGCCCCCTATCAAGAGGCTGGCTGGTTGTGTTACCTGGCCTGGTGAAATCAGAGGGTCTTTGCAGCAGGGATAGAATCTGGGAAGGGCCTCCCTGGTGGTGCAAGGGGTTAAGCACGGCACTATGGAGCAATCCCCAGAGCAACCCACTTGGCGCAGCAGACCTCTCCTGTCTTGCCCGCTGCTCCCTTCAGCAGTGTGTTTCAGTCAGTCTGCCTGTTCTGTTCCCCACTCTGTCTCTGGTGAATCCTCTCACCCCCCACCCCGCATCTCTGGCCTGTACCCCAGCTTTTGTATGCATAAATAAATAAATCTTAAAAAAAAAAATCTGGGGAGTCTGCTTCGCAATAAACAAGGGTGAAGTTCAGGATGTGGCCACCTGAGGGCAGTATGTCAACATAAAATGCCAACCCCTTGCCCAACAGTATCCCTAGCATCCCTCCCAGGTCTCCAAGAGTTTGGTTTTAACATTCACTTAACAGTTTCTCAGGCAGTAGCAGAATTTGATGTACGTGTGTTGGGGACCAGATTACTTGGGATCGAAACTGCCTCCATCGTTCACCGCCCGTGTGACCTCAGGGAAGTTATTTACCCTCATGGATGGGTCTTGTTTCCTTCTCTGCAAAGGCCCAGTCAGCGAAGGGTCAGACAGGACTTCAGGGCAATAGAAGGCAGGTGGAGTCGCCGCACTGCTGGGGTGAAGGGGGGTGCAATGGTCACAGAGAGCAGCAAGGCTGGGACGGCAGCTGGCGGGGTCAGAGCAGAACTGATTCATAAAACTTGGCATGACCACAGGCAAATATTTGGGTGGCCAACGAGGACACTAACCAAGTCGAACCATCAAAAGAAATCAAGGATGATGATGGTAAAGCCCAGGGCAGTTGCTCCTATAAATCCCATCTCTTTGCCCAGTGTGTCTGCTGACCCAGCTTTCACAAAGAATCCCCGACCACTGAAGAAGTGGCTGGAGCGCCAGAGGGAAGGACCCCAGGACACGTTGTAATTGAACACGGTACTGATTCTATGGTCTTCTGTCGATTTGCTTGGGTAATTGGCATTAGAGATGGGAATATACAGAAACATTTGAGGACAATTGGCCACAGACTCCTAGTTGATTTTGATAACCTGAGGCCTTCACACCCACAGGCAGGGAGGCTGGGGCGCAGGAGCTTCTCCCCAAACCATGCCCCCTGATGAGGGGGTGCCTGGCCAGTGGGCCTGGTGTGGTGCAGATGGAAGACAGGGCAGTTGCAGTTAGGGTTTGGGCAGGACAACCTAGGGCCCCAGGGAGGGACAGGGAGGGATTCAGTGACATCGGGAAATCGGCTGGGGTGTGGGTGGCTGGTCCATGAGCCCCGATGAGCCAAAGGGTGGCGCTTTGAAGAAGAGAGAGAAGAGAGGTGGCACAGGATGTGCCAGGGGTCTGGGGCTGCAGAGTGTCCTGAACCAATAGCTGGAGTAGTAACTGCAACAAGCACAAATTCTGACATCTGGATCCTGGAAAGGAAGGGCCAGACGTGGGTAGGAAGAGTCAGGAGCAGGAACTGAGATGGAAGCCATCGGAGCCTGCCTTTCCCAGGCAGCTGAACTGAATTTTAAATTTTATATAACAAATATTTATTTAGGACTTACTCTCTATCAGAAAGCACTTTATACATTAACTCATTTCATTTTCACAACAACCCTCGGAGGGAGCAAAGTTCATTAATTCCATTAAAAACACTAAAGCACAGAGAGTTTAAATATCTTGTACAAGGTCACCCAGGATAGGGACATAAATGCTGTTAGCCTGGCTCCCAGGTCTTTGTTCTTGATCAGTCAGAGAGAAATTAATAATCCTTAAAAAAATAATAATCCTTTTCCCTCTCGACACTGGAAATATCTATTGTTTTTCCTAGTTTCGAAAGTAACTAAATATAAAAATATTTGAACAACATAAAAGGGATAAACAGAAAACTAGCCAATGCTTAAACAGAGAGATGTAGACAAAGAGACGATATCTAGCTTTTAGCACTGTATATCCTAACTGGCTCTGTGGAAATTAAAACAGCAAATCAAAATGATGACAGCCAGGGCCAGGGTGTCACAGGACTGGGGAGCTGGGCAAGGAGAGCTCTCAGAGGGGAACAGGGTGGGGTGGGAATGGGCCGCGTAGTGGTGGAGGTCTCTAGAATGGGAGGCAGTGAAGGGCATGTGCCGGGGCTCTGAGGAGACCCACAGGCCCAGGCATGGAGCGTTGGCTCTTATGAATATTCCAGGCTGGCTGTTGGCCTCAGGAGCAGAAACTCCCCTTCAACAGTGGGTATGGTTGGGCTTTGAGCTGGCAGGATGCAGAGGACATCTGGTCCAGGAGGATTTGACCCATCTCCTCCCTGCTGCCAGCCCACTGCCTGGG